AAATCATGAATCTTGAATCATGAATTATATTTTGGATTTTGTTAAAAGGTTCAATAAACATCTCAGTTCTGAAAAATTAGAATGTTCTGCTATATTTTTATGTGTCAGGCTTTACAGGGTTAATAACTTGCACAAAATTGCAAAGACATTACTTTTTTTTTTTTACATTATGTGCAGTTATTACATTATGAGTTTCTAAAAGGTCATTCTATATGATTCATATCAGATTTGATACATTTTTATTTGGTTACAACAGCAGAATATTCTGATTTGAACTTTATCTCCTGAAGTAAACTGTAATCTTTTCTCTCCTAGTTATCTCTCTGAATTTAGTCACTGTGGCTCCACTTCATTCACACCTCACATTAACCACTTTTAGCACTGCAGTCTATATACTTGGTACTATAGATAACATGTTTGTATACAGTAAATGATTAATCTGTCTCAGCAGAATGTTCTTTTAGGTCCCAGCAGTAACTCAAGAGGTCACCGTATATTTACTCAAAATACTCGTTTTTTATTTGTCTTTCTCATGTGTGTAACAGAACAGATACGCCTCTGTCTTCCATAAAGGAACAATGGAGCTGCTGCTAATTGGCTGCTCAAGCAACACCCATTATGTAGTTGCTGCATCAGGCTGACACATAACTAAATATTCAAAATGCTATTTATAATGTAGTTTATTCTTTGCACTGTTTTTAAAAGTGAAAACAGAAGGCTTTGTTTGCGTAGCATCCTGCTTCTTTTGCAATCCAATTATCAAAAAAAACATGATACTCAAGTTGCACTTTTATGGGTCCTTGAAACCAGAGAGTGGATTTAGCAGATGAGCCTTGTCTGATTTTCTCTGTTGGCTCTCTGTGTTGTTTTGTTGACTGTGCAAAGTGGCCTGTACTCAGTGAGGTGACAACAGAAAGCTCATTAAGCTCTCTGGGGTTCCAGTAAAGGCATGTAGCAAGAAAACATTCACTGTGCTGTGACACACTGTAACATAAGCACTGCTTATTGACCCATATGGGATAGTACAATTTTGGAACACATGTTCTCCATGTCTGTGTTTCAGCCAAACTAAAGGTGTGATGCTAATGATTGCAATATCAGTCCATAACTGTGTCCCAGCCTGCGGTTGCCATGGTGATAGTGAGCAAGAACCTGCCACTGACCATCAGCTCAGATGGCAGCAGCTGGCTGCAGTGCCTCTTTGTTTTTGCTGCCGTTTACCATGTAAACAGTAGGTATGCTTTAAAACTGATGGCATCAGTCTGAGCTGTGTCCTGTTCCTCACTGTATTCTGCCCAGAGAAGCAGAAATGCACAAAATAGCAAACACTGAAGATAGGAGACTTTCACCCCACATGCCTGAATCCTGAAAAAACCCAGATGCACAGCATATCCACAATCAATACATCAGTTTCACACAACACACCATTAATCAGTAAATTTATGCAAAATCAGTCAAAGCAAACAGAGGAGAGCAGAGGGTGAAGCAGTGAATAGATAAATGTATTCCTGGCACGTACACACACAAACACACACACACACACAGGAGCAGCCATTCTGTGTTTATTTTTAGTATACACCATATAGTTATCAGTGGAACTGTCCAGTCACAAACACAATACAATAATAGTGACAGATAGGAACCCTAATTACATAAGCTCAAGAGCAATCACACACATATACACCAAGCATGCCACTTACCAGGCACATGTACAAATGCTGCCACGTCCCTGCTGCCGTCTGTTGCCACTGCACATGTATTCCAATGTGTGTCTATGACAGGAGAGCGTTCTAACACACCATCCAGCTGTCAGTCAGAGCCATAGTAAACAGCACTACCAGCTAACAATAGATCCTCCAGAAAAGAGCACTAAGAAAGCAGCTGGATGCGGCACATTAATAGGCAGCCTCTCCTTGGATACAGGGTTGATGGAGGGAGGCTACAGAGCATGCCTAGCAGAAAATCCCTGGGTATTAGAACATCACATGACCACCCATCCACATTCAATCACAGAGCAGAGGAGATGAAAGCGAGGAGAGAAAGAGGCACAAAGAGGACAAGAGTGAATGGGTGGTGGGGGGAGACATCACAGTGCTGCTCAATTTCCCCTTTTCATTACAGACACAGACATGGGACACGAGCCAATAAGACATAAGGACTGTCTGCTGGCTGAACCCCTCCCTGAACAGAACAGCCAGCACCAGCACAGGCAAACAAGGAAAGGAATACACAAAAGAAAAGCCCAGAGAGAGAAGCAAGCAGTCCCGCCTCCAGGCAGGCAGAAAAAAAAACACCAGAATTAAGCTGCTCTCATTTACATAAACAACAATCATGTGACAATCATACAACGAAGCCATGTTTACATTTGTCATCTTGACTTTTCACTAAATTTTCAAGTACCTTTTTCATGTTGAGCAAAGAAGAGTCAGGTCTATTTATTTTTTCATAAGATGTCATTTGTATTTATGAACTGAAAATTGAGCTGCACAAAGGTGGTTTTACATGTATGAGCATCCCATTGTATTACAAGCAAATGCAGGATAGCTTTCAATTCAGAAAAAAAGGAGCACATGCAGCACATTTGCATCTCTGGCTTTGTCATATGGACCACTGACCCTGATAAAAACCCACCAGGGTTGAAATGCTGCCTTTTTTTTTTACTCCAGTGCAGTTTTGAAACTTTAATATTAATTTGAAAATCTGACCGGTGTTTGTAATTGTGTTTTGTAATTATCTGAGAAAAAAATAAAATAAACATAAACAGAGGTGGGTGCGGATGTAGTGGGTTATTTACCAAGGACAGGACTGTCCAAATGAACCACTTCCATTAGTGAAACGAATACTTTCTTGAGCCATCTGCTGGTGAGAGCGGTTTTCTGCATGCATCAGGAACAGGGGCACACCAGACCTCGACATTTGAGAAGTTGAAATAATTAATAATAATGTCTCACAAACTTTGATCTTATGTTAAATTTTCACATTTTTAGGCAGGTCATTTTATTGTTAAATGTAAAAAGTAGAAAAGTAAATTCATATATAGCATATATGTATAGGCATATAACAGTCACAGGCTGCTAGAAAACCAAGAACAGTTGTGGCAAATTGAAACCTAGCAATAGCCTGTCCGTCTGGTTCTGCTCTTCTGTATTTATGTTAAATCCAAGTTTGCTTCACAATGACTGGTTGTAGTGATTTGCTTACAATGTCACCAGGGAGACAGTGATTTCCTTTTTCAGATTTATTCCTCTACACTGAACTGTGCCATAAAAGTACAAAAGAAGCGCATACAGTATCTAAATGTGTACCATGTCCATTTACTTATGTGGAGCACAGAGACACAGACTCTGGCTTAATTTTTGCCCATGTAAGAGTTACACTGGACTGGGCTTGTGTTCTGGATTTCCAGGGCTATGCTGACATATTTCTATTATTCTGTCACCCTGTTTATATCAGTGAGATTGGACTAAATAGGAACAGTAACATCTCTATTTCAGCAACATAAACATCAGTCTCCAAAATGATGCTCAAGTTGCATCAACACCTCTCTGAAACAGTCTGAACACACACCGAACACGATCATCTTCATGAAGAAGGAATTATTGCAGGACTGCTGGATAAGACTGACTTACCTAATAGTTTAGTGTATGTAATAAACTGAAAACTGTGAGAACATTGTAACACTCTTATTTATAAGAGCTGTGTTCACTAGTACAACATATGAACATCATCTAGTGGCTCAACACTTTGGAAAGTAGTGACGTGGTTCACATGACAGTTCACCTGACAGTCTGACTAGCTGGCCCAGCAATATGACTTCAGCTGTTGCTGAGGATGGTGATGCAGCAGTATTCAGCAATAATTAAATCAATTAGTCAACTAACATCTTAACTGCCCTGTTACAGCTAAAATACAATGTATATAACCAACATACTTCATTAAAGGTCTCTCAGTGTAGAGATTCACCAGGCCAATTGCAGCCATTTTCAAACTATACCTGAATGACTGAAAATCGATTTCTCTTCTGGAAAATAAATATCATACGATCATCAAAATAAGCACCTTCATGTTGTATGTGTAGCCTGTGCCACTAAATGTATGCATGCAGCAGTATGTGAGGATGGTAAGCACTAGACGAGTCTGGCCTTCATCATAGTGGTAGCGCTTCACTCCACCTTCTAGGTCTAATCCAAAAATGGGCAAAGAAGGACTGTGAGAGAAGTATGTTAGACAGCTAGCGGTCAGCCACCTGTGGCGAGACCCTCCCGCCTGTCACTCAAAGTCTGATTGATACCAGAAACATTTTTGTAACTTTTCTTTGTATTAAAGTTTTACATTTTCTCTCTCTCCCTCTTTTTTTTTTTTTTTTTTTTTTTTACAAACCAACTAAAATAAAGTGCAATATTTGCACTTCTCCAAATCTAAACAGGTGCAACAGGTAACGAAAAATGTCTGTTACTACTGAGCGTGCAGTTCTTGTTGAAGTGTGTATAGTTTGTATTTGCTGTTTTACCACAGGTTGGATACACTGTATATTATATATACACACACACACACACAGTTCATGTGGAGCTAGTAATTCCCTCACTGTGTACTATTTGTCGGAGATTTGGACATAGTTTCCCTTCTTTTTTGAAGCTTCCTCTGTGTGGCTTTTGTACACCAAGCACTTCCAATGTGCAAGCGAACATGTGCTCATTATAGACACGAGTACGAGTCTCACTCAAAGTGCATGTGAGATGCTATGCGCTGCACACACTGTTTTTGGTCTGTACCACTGCATGCATGACATGGACTGTCATGCCTCTAAAGCTGACTGACACAGAAACAGAAATCGCAGAATGATCAGCCAGTCACCGGCCAAGGCCAATCATGCTTAAAACCGGCCACTTCCGACCTTCACTGATCAATCGGTGCATCTCTAGTTGACTGCTACTATTTCCTACTGTAACTATTTAGCCCATTTAACACCAGAGGAAGTGAAAATAAAAAACACTCACTTGAAGGGTTTCATCCTGTCCAATTTATAACATGCATCTGGTTAACTGTACCATTCCTTTTGCACATTCCCGCTGAAGTGCCTGCTGTACAGCTTCAATGCTTTTCGTATGAGGACACTTGTGGTTTTTAAGGTGTGACAGAAAACTAAATTTTTTCTCACATTCACTGCAACTAAATGGTTTCTCTCCTGTGTGGATTCTCATGTGCTTATTCAGATTTCCTTTTTCACTAAAGCTTTTACCACAAAGTGAACACGTAAATGGTTTCTCTCCAGTGTGGACCCTCATGTGTCGGACAAGTGTCCCTCTTTCGCTGTACCTTTTCTTACACACTGAGCAGGTAAAAGGCTTCTCTCCAGTATGAATTCTCACATGTACAGCTAATGTTCCGCTCTGGGTGAAGTTTTTACCACAAACTGGGCAACCGAAAGGCTTCTCTCCAGTGTGTTTTCTCATGTGTATGTGCAACCCTCCCTTTTGCCTAAATGTCTTACCACATTCAGTGCAGTCAAATGGCTTCTCCCCTGTATGACATGTTATATGTCTCTGTAGAGCTGTGTTATGCTTAAATGTTTTGCTACATGCTGGGCATTTATAGAGATCATCCTGACAAAGAGATCTCTCATGAGCTGTGGTTTGATGGTATTTCAGTGTGTTGGATGATGGCTGGGATTTGGTCAACTGATTCCAGTCATCATTCAGGACTTCAGTCTCCATTTTAAAACACTGGGAAAGGAAAAACTGACCATCACTGGTTGCTTTTAAAAAACCAGCTACATCCAAGTCAGTGACTGGTTCTAATACTTCACAGTCTCCTCCAACAACTCTGGCTTTTATCTGTCCAGCAGGTCTGCTGGCTGCCCGATCAGTCTCTGTTCTCTCCTCCATTGGCCTTTGATGAAGCTGTGAGGACTGAGGCTTCTCTTCATCATCTTCACTCTTCACGGAGATAGAAGGAAATGTGATTTCAGCCTCCTCTGGCCCTTGAAACTGCTCTTCCACCTCACTCTCCCACACATCCTCTGGTTCCTCTTTAATGCATAGGGTCTCACCAGAATCCTGGTGCAGGCTGGGGCTTGAGTCCTGCTGCTCAGAGGGAACCTTTGCGCTGACAGTCAGTGGCTGGATGACCTGAGACTCACCTGGAGATACAAACATACAACACATCATCTTAAAAACTTTCAAAGGTTTTCTCTTAGTACTGATGTTTGTCTCAATTCAATTCAAATTGAATTCAAATGTATTTGTATAGTACCAAATCATAACAAAAGTCATCTCAGGACACTTTACAATATAAGACCTTACTATTATCACTATTATTATAGAGAAAAACCCAACAAATCCCCCTTGAGCAGCACTTGGCGACACCAGGGAGGAAAAACTCCCTTTAACCAAAGAAATCTCGGACAGACCCCGGCTCTTGGTGGGGGGACTTCTGCCTCAACCGGCTAGGGGTGAGTTTATAGAAGAGTGAAAAGAAAAGAAAAGCAACAAGACAACAATCAAGCACTGATGTGGCCACTGACTGCTCATCAGAAACATAGAGCTCTAGAGCCAGGGCTACCTGCAGAAAGGTACAGAGAAAGAGAGAGAGGACACACAGCAACACATAATGGTGGTATATAGTTGCATGGAGAGAGGAAAGGAGAGGAGAGTTGAAGAGAGAAACTCTGAGCCCCATCATGGGGCCCCCCAGCAGTCTAGGCCTATAGCAGCATAACTAAGGGAAGGCTCAGGGTTACCTGATCCAGCCCCAACTATAAGCTTTATCAAAAAGGAAAGTCTTAATTCTAATCTCAACGGAGAGAGAGGGTCTCTGCCTCCCGAACTGAGTCTGGGAGCTGGTTCCACAGGAGAGGAGCTTGATAGCTAAAGGCTCTGCCTCCCATTCTACTTCTGTGGACTCTAGGAGCCACAAGTAAACCTGCACTCTGACAGCGATGGTCAAAGTGTTTGTCATATGCACAGTTAGGAAACGTGTTTCTTTTGGTGTGAACAGTGTGAGGAAACTTTCATTACATCAAGTAGACTAAAAGTCCATCAGCGTATTCACACAAGGGCGAACATGTAAGTCTGGTCCCAGTGTCAATGTGTGCCTACACCATGTAATCTACAAACCCACCACTGCATGTTTCAGAGCTTTGAACAGAGCATGTGCACTAGGGCTGTTGCTAACTATTATTTTTCTGTCGAATAAGCTAACGATCATTTTTTCGATTAGTGGAATAATCGTTTTATATAAGTTTAAGAAAATTAAAAATTTCCAGCCATTGGTCACTTATTTCAAACTTTTCAAATTTTTTATTAAAATGAAAGTTTCTCTTAACTGTACAGAACACACATTATATAAATAAAATTATAAAATAAATAAAACTAGTGAAATCAAAACAATACTTGACTTCAAGTAAAATATTGGAAAAAAAAAACAGATGAATCAAGTAAATTTAAACTTTCTGGAAGAACACAAATTGTTACTTGTAAGTGAAAAGCAAATAGTGAAACCAAATTGTTAAATTTGCATTTTTGAAACTTTTTAAGACGGTAATTGCTGTCAAACAAGTTAATCAACTGAACTGTCAGTAACACATCCAAGCACAGAACATAATGTCCACTTCTTTCTCTCCCCTCCCTCTTTCATTTCTTTCCTCCCTCTTGCCCTCTCTACATCATCTTTCTCTTGTTTTCTCTTATTTACTTCCTCCTTTACTACTCCACCTAGGCATTACTATGGAGGAAGGTGAGCATGGCCACATGCTCTGGGGTCAGGCTTGCTCGTTTGTTTGTTTTTTTGTCACAATGTTCCCAGCATCTGAAAAAAGGCATTCAGATGGAGTAGATGTAGCAGGGACAGCCAGGTATGATTTGGCCAGATGTGTGAGGTTGGGGA